AATCAAGTCAATATGTAAAAACATTAAAATGTTAGTACATGCAACGTACTAATTGCATACAATAGAATGCCACTCAGCATGAAAAATAACTACTAAAACTCTCAACAGCATGGCTGGATCTCAAGAACAATATCCTGAGGGAAAGAAGCCAGACACAAAACATTTCATAGTGTGCAATTCCATTTGTATGACATTCTAGAACAGGAAAAACTAAGCTAGAGGGACAAAACGCATATCGGTGGTTTCCTTGAGCTGGGGGTTAGGAGATTGCGTGCAGAGTGTCATGAAGGAATTTCCTAGGGTGAGAACAAATGTTGTCTCCCTTTTTAGTGGTGCTTCCATCAGTGTATACATTTGTCAAAACTCATTGACCTGTGCACTTAAAATGGGTATATTTTCTAGTTTGTAAACTATACCTTAAATAGAGTTTTATTAACTGGAATTTAGAATCCCTGCTAAGCAAAACTAATTGTCATGTTTTTTTGTTTGTTTGTTTATTTATTTATTTACATTTTTGCGGTACACGGGCCTCTCACTGCTGTGGCCTCTCCCGTTGCGGAGCACAGGCTCCAGACGCGCAGGCTCAGCGGCCATGGCTCACGGGCCCAGCCGCTCCCTCCACGACACGTGGGATCTTCCCGGACCGGGGCACGAACCCGCGTCCCCTGCATCGGCAGGCGGACTCTCAACCACTGCGCCACCAGGGAAGCCCTAAATGTCATGTTTTAAAGTGCTGGTGACTAGTTTATCCGAAGCATTTAGTGAGAGATGTTGGCATACTTCAGCACTGCGTTTTACACATGCTGGAAGTCCTAGAGACAGTGGTAAGGACTCCAGGCAGGGAGGGCAGGGGACCAGGGGACAGTGGCAAGAGAACCTGTGTACGTCTTTATTCCTTCATGATTAATTCGTTGTTGCCCATGTGCCAGCCAGTGTGCTATGGGAATTCCCTGTTTAGTCTCTCTCTAGCTGGCTCCAGGAAGCCCCTCTTTCTGGGAAGGAAAATCATACAGCCTGGAACTCGAGGCGAGCCTCTCCTTGCCTCCGCTTTGAGTGGAATAATGTGAGTGTGATCTGACCCTGTTACCAGTTGAATAATTTGAATATTACATGCAGGTGTGTTCTTCTGATATGGCTGTAGACATCTCAGAAATGTTACACATCTGATCCGCAGCTGATTGGACCTGCGGATGCAGAAGCGTGACTGTGGAGGGTGGGCTATAAAGTTACACCCGGATTGTTGATTGCGTGGAGGGTGGGCACCCCACGCCTGCGCTGTTCAAGGGTCAACCGTATTGTCGTTCATACCTCAGATATGTGTTGGGTACCTACTGTGTGCCAGAAACTGCTTGTGGCTGGGAATAAAGCAGACATTGCTATGTCGTACTGTGTCTAGCAGATGGCGATTGGAAAATTACTGGGTCGAATTTGAAAGACCCTTTACTATTACTATCCCTTTTTCTGTTTTGGAGAGACACAGGGAGATTAATACATACGAACGCATTTCGTTCCAAGAGTGCGTTCATAAGTCTCATGCTGATTCTGCCCCCCCTACAACTGCTGAGTGACTCTTAACAAGCATCCTAACTTCTCAGGGCCTCACTTCTCCCATCTTTCAAATTTTAAGAATTTGAAATATTCTAGCAATAATTTCTGGCTTCATAGCCACTGTCAGTATCCACTGCTGATTAGACCATAACTTCATTGGAGCTTGTCTGTGAGACTTGGGCAGGAGGGTTAGGTGCAGAGGGCCGTGCCACACAGCGCATGGCACAGTGACATCATCTGTCCATTCCTGAGCCCTTTTCTTAGACCACAGTGCTCACCCTTAGTGGCACATCAGAATCATCTAAGGGCTTTAAAAAATTCTCAGTGCCAAGGCTGCACCTCAGACCAGTTAGAATCTTTCAGGGATGGACCTCGGCATCAGTCCTTTTTGGACACATTTAATTGTCTTCTTATTTGTGCCTTACGTATCCATTACCATTCACCCTCAACCCCCAAAGGAAATAGGTCTGTGGGACCTGACGCATGGCATTGAACTTGAGCGTACCATTTTGATAACAGCTGATGCTACTGTGTGTGTTTAACAACTGCAGTCAGAGCAAGCCAGGGCATGCGCACTGAGCTCGAGGCATAGCTGAGCCCATGGGTCACCCCACGTTTCTACCATCCGGGAAGGAACTTTGGATACTCCATTGTCTGTTATTACCAACATTATTGCTTAACTCAGTTCACGCATTCAACGAATATTTATCGAATGCCGGCCACGTGCCAGGCACGTGTGTCCTGGAGACTCCGTGGAGAGCAGAAATTAACCAGGTAGAGGGAGTAGCACATGCACAGTCCCCGTGGCAGAAAGGAGGTTGAGCAGTCAGAAGAACTGAAAGGATGGTCCTGTGGCTAGAGCAGAGAAAGTGCCGGCTGCACACAGTGCAAGGAGGCTGGCGACGCGGGAAAGTGCCCGCCTGCCCGACGCCTTGTGGGCAGAGCTGTAGCTGCAGAGAGCATGGGGGGAAGCCGCCGTCTGTGCATCGTCTCCAAACGTGTTGCCTTTCAGCAGTAGACTGACTGTTTTTAAGACCTTAATAAAAAGATATTCTTAGCAAGAACAGTGTGAAACCACGATCATGAGTCATACAGAGGAGGTAACCCAAGGGCAGCACATTTTTATTTGCTTCCCTCCCAGACAGACCAGCAGGTCCCGCCCCCAGGGTGATGCCCCCTGATAACAACAGGTCATCTGCACCGAGAGCTCGGTTCGTGCCGGGCATGACTGCAAGCACTTTATTGCCTCTCGAAGCTCCATTACCAGTCTGTGAGATAGGAACTATTACTATCCCTTTTTCTGTTTTGGAGAGACACAGGGAGATTAGTACATACGAACGCATTTCATTCCAAGAGTGCGTTCATAAGTCCAATTTGTTTGTAAGTCCAAGAAAGTTAGCCTAGGTACCCAACTAACACAATCGGCTATATAATACTGTACTGTAATAGGTTTATAATACATTTCACACAAATAATACATTAAAAAAAACAAAAAAAATAATTTTTTTTTTTTTTTTTTTGTGGTACTTGGGCCTCTCACTGTTGTGGCCTCTCCCGTTGCGGAGCACAGGCTCCGGACGCGCAGGCTCAGCGGCCATGGCTCACGGGCCCAGCCAATCCGCAGCATGTGGGATCTTCCCAGACTGGGGCACGAACCCGTGTCCCCTGCATCGGCAGGTGGACTCTCAACCACTGCGCCACCAGGGAAGCCCAAAGAAAACATTTTTTTTTTTCAAAGAAAACATTTTTAATCTTACAGTACAGTACCCTGAAAAGTACAGTAGTCCAGTACAACAGTTGGCATACAGGGGCACGTCCGCATCTTTGAAAGTTCACAACTTGAAGATTTGTGTGTAGGGGACTTACTGTAACATAATCACACTAATTTCCCACTAAGTGGGAAAACTCGGAAGTGAACCCAGGCAGCCTCTCTCTGGATGGCCGCTTGACCGTGGTGCCATGTTGATGTTCAAACATGAGGTGGTTTCGCTTGAGTGGTTCGCGTTGAAACGTTTTATTTTATTCAGAGAAAATGGAAGCCATGATGAGGTTTCAAGTGGGTAGTAGGTAACACGGTCAGATGGTATTTCCGCTCTGTTTGCACAGATGATGGACAGTTGACAGAGGCATCATTATCCCTACGAGGTGATACACAGTGCACGAAACCAGAAAATGAAGAAAACAATAACAGCTAATTGAAATTTCAGGGGAACTTTAGATAATAGAATAGGTATAATATAATTACTGGTTTTGAGGCTGATTGAATGAGCTCACTTGATGCATGTACTGTCAGAAAATTGTCCTGCCCCAGGAAAGCACTTAACGCCTTGTTGGAAACAGGACTCAAGTGTTTGGCTAGATTGTTGTGAAGCGTGGATTCAAACTCACACATCCTATAGTCTGGGGTGAGAAACAAGAGTGCTCTGGAAACTACATGGAAAATTATATGGAAATTGTGGTCTTATGTATGCAAGCAAGCTACGTATAATCCAGGGAAATTAGTTAATTGCCAAGAGCCTTGGGCTCGTCTGGAAATTATCATTGCCACCGTCAACATCAAGTTCTGTGTTTTGGGAGTTTTTAATTTTTTTTTTTTATTGAAGTATAGTTGATTTAAAGTGTTGTGCCCATCTCTGCTGTACAGCAAAGCGACTCAGTTATACACACACACGCATTCTTTTTTTAATATATTCTTTTCCATTATGATTTATCACAGGATATTGAATATAGTTCCCTGTGCTATACAGTAGGACCTTGTTGTTTATCCATCCTCTATATAATATTGAATAGTTTACATCTACTAATCCCAAACCCCCAGTCCTTCCCTCTGCCACATCCTCAAGTACTGTGTTTTGATGGTCTGTGATTACAGGGCATTTGGTCCATGGACCCATTAAGAAGAGGGACACAGATTCTCTTTTAACTGATACGCTGAAATAGTCCACGCTCTAATCAACTTTCGTTGAGTACCTTTCTGTACCAAACAGTAGTACCTCATTTAATTTTCAGAATAGCCCTGGCAAAGGAAGTGAATCCCCATCCTTAGAGATAAGGAATGTGCCCAAAGTCTCTCAGTGCATCCGGGAGAGGGTGTAGGGTTTGATCCAAAGTCAGCTTGGCTCCACAGCTGGTACTCTTGGCTCTCCCTAGGAAAACACGTGAGACTTTACACCCATTACCAGGATGCACTACCAGCGTATAGAAAGGACCCTGTTTTTTTTGGCAGACAGGGACGTGGAAGTCTGGTTGTCAGTTGACTGCTAAAACTTGGACGTTGGCTGAAGCCGCAAGATTATATACGGTCTGTGCTCCCTTCCCTCTCTCACTGAAATAAAGAGAGATTCAGCTGTGGGGCTGTTTATCCAAACCCGCGCCTGGAGCCTGTCAGGCACCCCCGGCGCCCCCGTGGCAGCCCTCAGAGCCAACGGAGAGTGGTTTCTTTTGTCCAACAGCTGCAGAACCAGGAGCTGCTGAGGGCGATGATGAGGAAGGCTGAGCAGGAAATCAACAGCAAAGTGATTGAAACGTTGAAGAGACTGGAGGACCCTGTGCAGCGACAGCGGGTCCTGGTGGAACAGGAGAGGCAGAAGTACCTGCACGAGGAGGAAAAGGTTGTCCGGAAGTTGTGGTGAGTGCGGTCCCTTGTTGCGTGCGTAGCTGCTCAACCTGGAAGGCAAGCCTGTCTTTGCCAAGGAGGAGGCCCTTCCTAGATGGTGTTCTGAGCCTCTTTCTTTACTGAGCACCTACTGTGAACAGTTAGAGTTCTGCTGGTTCTGGGTATCCATGGACACTTAGCTAGTGCCCCTCCACCCAGGCCCAGGAAATTCAACAATCCTTAGGAGTCTGAGCTAGTCTCTTTATTTATTTTTCTTTTTAATTATATATATTTTTTGCAGTATGCGGGCCTCTCACTGTTGCGGCCTCTCCCGTTGCGGAGCACAGGCTCCGGACGCGCAGGCTCAGCGGCCATGGCTCACAGGCCCAGCCGCTCCGCGGCATGTGGGATCCTCCCGGACCGGGGCACGAACCCGCGTCCCCTGCATCGGCAGGCGGACTCTCAACCACTGCGCCACCAGGGAAGCCCTGAGCTAGTCTCTTTGAAGCCGGAGCATCACACTGTTCTATAGGGCTTGGCAACGCCTAAAATTAAGAGGAGCCAGTTGCACAATCCAATGATAAATGGGAAGTCTGCATTTAATCTCAGTAAATTAAAACTAATAGCCAAAATAACACAGCGCCAAAGTTATCCTCCTATTATTCAACGGTAGTTAAAATCACAAAAGAAGAATTTAAATGTATAGTATGTCTGATCCAGAATGAAAGATGCTGCCTTGAATGTTACCCATCTTCTGTGAGGTTCTTATTGAAAGCATCTATCAAGTCCCACTATTGAAATGAGCAGAGTTTTATTACGCCCCAGTCACTGGGGCAGGCCCATCTTTTATGTTAATGTATGTTTTGTTATGCGATGAAGATTTATCATAGAACAATTTCACCTTTTAGTATAATGAATAATCATTTGCCTGGGTTCTTCTAGTGTTGGTATTTTTTTTTTGAGTTTCATAAAGGCTTTTTTTAAAATTATTTTTTAAATGTTTTATACAGTTTTTAAAGGTTATACTCCATTTATAGTTATTACAAAATATTGGCTTTATTCCCCATGTCGTGCAGTACATCCTTGTACCCTATCTTTCACCCACTAGTTTGTACCTCTTACCCCCCGACCCTTACGTTCCCCCCTCCCTGCCTCACTGGTAACCACTAGTTTGTTCTCTGTATCTGTGAGTCTGTTTCTTTTCTGTTATATCCACTAGTTAGTTGTATTTTTTAGATTCCACCTATAAGTGATATCATACAGTACTTGTCTTTCTCTGACTTGTTTCACTTAGCATAATGCCCTCCAAGTCCATCCATGTTGCCGCAAATGGCAAAATTTTCACTCTTTTTTATGGCTGAGTAGTGTTCCATTGTATATAGGTAATTCTGTTGTTTCTTGGAAAGCTTAAACCTCCCAAAATGGGACTGTAGGGGAGCAGCTTCCAAATTCTTTTCATGACCAGAATCACCAGAAGCCTACAACACGATGGAGAGTACTGTGCTCTCTCACCTATTTGATATTTGAGGTGTAGCTTATGTCACCTCATATGCCAACCCAATGTGCCTGATTAGAATTAGAATACCCCTCTCAGTAGCAGTCTAGAGGAAGAAATCACTTTGAGTTATTATTTTCCGGAAGAAGAGAATTTGACGACCGTGCATCATCTCAAGAGTAGCCTCTGGGGCTTCCCTGGTGGCGCAGTGGTTGAGAGTCCGCCTGCCGATGCAGGGGACACGGGTTCGTGCCCCGGTCCGGGAAGATCCCACATGCCACAGAGTGGCTGGGCCCATGAGCCGTGGCCGCTGGGCCTGCGCGTCTGGACCTGTGCACTGCAATGGGAGAGGCCACAACAGTGAGAGGCCCACGTACCGCAAAAAAGAAGAGCAGCCTCTAAATTTTTATTGAGTTCATGCCTTTATAGACAGACAGTTAATCACCCACCATGAGGTAAAAAGGCTATTATTTGTCTGAAACATTTCTGCGACAGCCCGATTGTCTACAACTACATGTCAAGGTTCTTCTTGAAAAGTTCTTTTAAAAAAAACATAGCCTTTTAATATTTTTATAGAATTGCCAATTATTTTTCCTTCCAGCTTAATTGAGATGTAATTGTCATACATCACTGTAAGAGTCTAAGTACAGCGTAATGATTTGACTTACACACATCTTGCAACTATGGCCACAGTAAGTTTAGTGAACATCCATCATCTCATAAAGATACAAAATTAAAGAAATGGAAAAAAACATTTTTTCCTTCTGATAAGAACTCAGGATTTCCTCTCTTAACAGCTTTCATATATAACCTACAGCAGTGCTAATTATATTTATCGTGTTGTACGTTACACCCCCGAGTACTTATTTACATTATAACTGGAAGTTTGTACTTTTCTCAACCTGCTGCCTACCCGAGCACACTCAAGGCTCTGGCAGTGGACTAGATGTTCGCTTACTGCCACCTAGTGGTTCTTCAAATCAAAGCTCTTTTCCTGTTTCTTTTTCTGTTGTTGGATTTACAGGCAAACTGCAAGGATGCACCCCATCTAGGGCCGAGGCGACAGGATGTTATTATTGGTGTGTTTGTTGAAGTAGGAGACCTTAATTTAGTTCTATTGGAACTGGCAGTACCCTAAGAGGTGTGTGTAAGTGTGTGCACACACCCCCCAGAAATCAGATCTGTGATCATTTCTTCTCTTCCTAGCCTGGAGAGGACACTCAATCCTTATTGACAGGACAATTGGTATAAACCAGAGGTTCTCGGTCAGGGGCAAGTTCGTTCCCCTCCCCTAAGGACATTTAACAGTGCCTGCCGACATTCTTGTTTGTCACAAGTAGGGGAGGTCACTGCTGGCATCTATCATCAATGGGTGTTGAATTTTGTCAAAAGCTTTTTCTGCATGTATTGAGATGATCATATGTTTTTATTCTTCAATTTGTTCATGTGGTGTATCGCACTGATTGATGTGTGGATATTAAAGAATCCTTGCATCCCTGGGATACTTGATCATGGTGTATGATCCTTTCAATGTGCTGTTGGATTCGGTTGGCTAGTATTTTGTTGAGGATTTTTGCGTCTATGTTCATCAGTGATATTGGCCTGTAATTTTCTTTTTTGTGGTATCTTTGCCTGGATTTGGTAGCAGGGTAATGGTGGCCTCATAGAATGAGTCTGGGAGTGTTCCTTCCTCTGCAATTTTTTCAAATAGTTTCAGGAGGATAGGTGTTAACTCTTCTCTAAATGTTTGATAGAATTCACCTGTGAAGCCATCTGGTCCTGGACTTTTGTTTGTTGGAAGATTTTTAATCACAGATTCAATTTCAGTGCTTGTGATTGGTCTGTTCATATTTTCTGTTTCTTCCTGGTTCAGTCTTGGAAGGTTGTACCTTTGTAAGAATTTGTCCCTCTTCTAGGTTGTCCAATTTGTCGGCATGTAGTTGCTGCTCCCAGCATCTAGTGTGTCGAGGCCAGGGGCGCTGTTAAACATCCTACAGTGCATAGGACAGGCCCCACACACAGAAAAGAATTACCTGAGCCCAAAGGCCAAGTGCCAAGGTTGAGAAGCCGGACCTAAAGCCGTCCGGGCTCCTCCTTCTGCCCCCTCCGTCCCTCTTTCTCCTCTGTCACATTGCAGAGTGCACATACCCTCCCTTAGTTGGCATCAGCAACACTGAAAACGAAGAGTGGGTCCTTGGTCAGACAGGCGGCCAACCTGGGCCTCCCCGTGGACAGCCCCGGGAAGACGGCCTCGCACCTGCCTCATACCACAGCAGAGTATCTTAAGCCAAACCAAGCTACTCCTGTACCAGCTGCTTCCGTCGCCTCCGTGGGCGTGGAGGGAGCGGCCAGGACGCGGTGCAGGAGGGGAGGCCAGGCGGTGAGGCTCAGGGGTCCCTCTGCTCCTGCACTGTCCTTATTGAAGGCCCCAGCGTTCACTCCATCTGTGGTTTGCGCTCCCCACAGTGACCTGGAAGACTTCGTTGAAGATTTAAAGAAGGACTCTGCCTTGGCCAGCCGCGTGGTCACTCTAAAAGACGTGGAAGACGGGGCTTTCCTCCTGCACCAGGTGGGAGAGGCAGTAGCTTCCCTGAAAGGTGAGTGTCCTCCTTGCGGCGGGGAGGAGTCTGAAGGCTGTTTCCTGGGGTGTTTGAAAATCCATCAGACGGTGAAGGATTCATTCATGCACATGGGCAGGTACTCATCCAACACCTCCGTGTGCCAGGCACTGTTCTGGGCACTTGGGATACATCACTGCCTGTCTTCTGGGAGCTGATACTTCAGTGGTGGCTGTAATATTTAGGACTGAATGACTCTTAAGACTCTTAAGTACGGTGCACCAGGCACCTGTACCAAATTCATTAAACACAACCCAAGGGCCGCGTGAGCTTATCCCAGACATACAGGCAGGAAATGAGGCCTGGGGCTCTGCCTTGGCCCAGGTCACGCTGGGCCCAGCTCGGCCTCAAGGCACGTGAGCTGCCCTGTGGTGGGTGAACCCCACGCTTCTCAGCCCTGTCCAGAGTCGGGGCTCGGCACAGGGGGCTTGCTGCTCTGGCTTTTTTCATACAGCTCACCAGCTGCTCTTGGCCCGCAGGAGAATTTCCAACCTTACAAAACAAGATGCGAGCCATCCTGCGCATAGAAGTGGAGGCCGTGCGGTTTCTGAAGGAGGAGCCGCACAGGCTGGACAGTCTCCTGCAGAGAGTGCGAGGCATGACCGACGCCCTGACCATGCTGCGCAGGTGACCGCGGCTTCCTGGGCTGGGGGGGGGGGGGGGGGGGCTGGGGTGAGAACTGATAGTTTGACGCCAGACTTCTTGTTGGTTCTGATCTCACAGCCAGGCAGTCAGCCGTATTTGGACATTGTCTGCTCCAGCCCTGGTGGTGGTAGGTGTCAAGAATATAATAATAAACAGGACCCCTGCCCTTATAAAACTTCCTTTCCCACGTGGGAAACAGACACGACTACCACACATGAACCACTTCCCAGTCTTCCCAGTAGTGGCAGTCCTGAATTTTCCTTTTTCTTTTTAAGTAGAACTTGGAAATTACAAAGATGTTACCCCTTAGATCTTGGACCAGATTTGAGAGCAGGTCACAAGCAGAATATAAATTCTTGGGAGAATTTTAATCACTAATAATCTTTAATCACTATAATCTTTTGATCAGGTTTGTAGGAGAAATATGTGAAATGTGCAGTTGACTTTTAGATGAATTAACTATAAGGGAGCAAGTGAGATTTTTCTTGTAACAGTGACGAACCTCTTTTGAGATGCTAAGACTACAGAGCGCACTATAATCACCTGTGTAAGTTCCAGGATGCCAAAAATAATCTGAATTAGAACAACAAGAGGCCTCTTCCTGCAGAGACCTCGTCTGCCTGGGCACAGGAAGAAGTTGTACCCGAACTGCACTTTCTCACAGGTTCCCTCATTTAAAATTGCCAGAGTGAACTTTTCCTTCCCGTAGGATAAAAATATGTTCAAAGAATTCTTAACTAAGCTCTTACCTAAATGTGGTAACCCACCCCCAAAGCCTAAAGCAAACCATCCTTATTAAGTGTTTAAAGAGGGAGCAGACTGGCTGGTAACGTTGCCCACCCTCCCTTCTCTTCCCTGAAAAACAATTTTTAAAAAATTTTAGAGCCAGCACAGATGAAGCTCAGTATTTGTCTTATCTCCATCTAAAAACAGATGGGATTGTGTGTCTTGAATGTTATAGGACTTTGTGTCCCGTAAATGCTCAGTGGTGGGAATGATAGATAAAGCCAGTTAAGTAACTTTAACAATAAAAATAAATAGAAGAAATATTAGCTGCTCATCACAGGCCTTTATACTATTAATCTGTCCTTGGTATCTTCCCGGTATAACATGCTGTACGCAGCACTGTGGAAGACACAAGAAGGAAGGTAGGAATATGCACGACCCCAAGGACAGGCACATGCCTGTGCCTGATAGAGAAGACAGAGCGGGTGACAGTCACAGTTCAGAGCAACTTAGCGGCTTGGGAAGATGCTGAAGGGATTTGGTACGTGTTGAATTTGAGGTGCTGGAAGGATAGCAAAACAGAGCTGCCCATGAGGCACTTAGAGTTGAGGGAGTCCCTGCCTAACTCGGAGGGAGAGAGGGAGGAGAGGTTTAGAGTGGGAAGTCGCCTTCATGAAGGTGATTACTGAAAATGGAAGCGACGCCTATGATAGAATGAGAAGGAAAGGAGGAAAGAGACCCTTAGGGATTTGGGATTGAAGGGACGGGGTAGGTAAAGAGCAAAAGAAACAAGTGAGTAGAAGAGGAGAGTCGTAGAAAGCAGTGTCTTCTTTCCAATCAAAAAAAAAGCATTTTGCTAAGAAGGGAATGAGGGACTAATTAAAAATTATGGGTCGAGTGCCATGTGTGACAGAGTCTTCCATGTAACTACATTGATCGTAGCACCGAGCCCCGAGGAAGACATTGAACAGCACTGTCACCGTCACTATTATAATCTCCAGAAAAGTATCTGAGGCTCACAAAGGTGAAGTTCCCGGCCTTACAGAGCTAGAACAGGGCAGAACTGATACTCAAACACAAGCCTGTCTGACCCCGAAGGTCCTGTCTTTGCCGCTGGACCGTGGGTGGAGGTGGACAGACAGAATCAATGACCCCGCCCCCCAAGCAGAGGAGGACTAACCCGGCAGTTAGATTCGAAGTCTCTCGTGATGTTGCAGAAAGGCTGCTCAAGTCCAGGTGGGGCAGCCAGATGGCACCAGGCTAAGCTGTAGGAAGAGGAAAGCAAAGGGCACTGGCATATAAACCACCTCCCAAGACGTGGAGCAGTGAAAGGAGGAGAGAATGGAGGGTTTAGGAAGCTTTGGGTTAGAACCGAGCATCTACGAGAGCTGCCCAGGCCTGGATCGGGTGCAGGAGTTACTGTTAGAATCGTGTGTCCACTTGATGTCACCACCCCCCAGTCTGGACACGACAGTGCACGTGGAAAGGGGAAGACAGACCATGTCCTGAGGGAAAAAGTAGGCAAGCAGCAGCCGGAGATAACGAGGAGGCAGTTAGGTTGCTATGGGAACCCTCAACTCTAAGCTGCTACTCCGGGTTTTAGAATCTTAATTTTGCAACACAGCCGTGCCTGGCTTTGGGATGACACAGCACTCAAGCATACCATACAACTAAAATGCACGTTACCTAGTTCACCAGTTCATGCTGCTGTGCGTGGTTTCTCCCAGGCATGTCACTGATGGGCTCTTGAAAGGCACAGATGCAGCCCAGGCCGCACAGTATGTCGTGATGGAAAAGGCCACGGCCGCAGAAGTCCTGAAGGCCCAGGAGGAGGCTCCCCGCGCCTCGGGCCAGCCCCTCCCCGGTGCGGGCGTCCCCGGCGACGTGAAGTCGGAAGTGGTGCCCTTGACGGTTCACCACGCTCAGAGCTCTCCTGTGGTCATCCAGCCGTCCCAGCTCTCCTCCGCGCTGCTGAACCCTGCCCAGCACTTGCCAGGGGGGCCCGGGCCTCACCCGGCCAGCCCTCCTGCTGTCACACAGGAGGTGACCTCAGCTCTGCAGTCCCCGCAGATGCCCGGGAATGGTTCCTCCGTGCAGAGCCTGTTCATGGACGAAATCCACAGTGTGAGTGCCAAGAACAGGGCAGTGTCTATCGAGGTAGAGTCCTATTTCCATTTTTCGTAATTCCATAAAGGAGGAAAGGATGTGGTCCTTTCCTTCCAAGAGTGTGTACAGTCTGGTTGTGGAGATAATGCATATGTGTATCAAAGATATATTTTTATCAAAAATATATATCTTTCTATTCTATATACATATCGGTTTTTTTAAACTGTAAATGGGTTTCAATGGCCAGGTTGAGAGAGAGGCCATCAGATTTCAGACAAGGCTTAGGCGCCCGACCTGTAGGAAGGTGAGGCAGTGGTGTGCGGCTAAGTGTTGCACAACCGGCATTCCGATGGGAGAAGCCTCCTTTGTAGTGTCTGCCAGTTTCTGTGGTGCAGAGACTCCCACCATTGCTGATATCAGTGACCATGCTGGTGGGAAGAAGGGTGACACTCAGCCCTCCCAAGCCAGTGTGAGCTGGGGAGGGTTTGCCAGTGACCTTGAAGATGAAGTAGAATCTGGGTAAGCAGAGGGTGGGAAGAACATTCTAGGATAGCGGGATCCTGGGGCAAAGGCTGGACCTTGGATAAACCAGTTTAAGTGGAACAAGAAAGGAGACAAGGCTGGCAGAACAGGCTGGAAGCTGGTTTGGGGCAGCTGACTCACCATCCCCATGGGGCCAAGGTTCATTTCATGGGTATCAGAGAAATGCTGTAGCTTGGACCAGTGATAAAAAAAATGGCATCTTCAGAAAATTAATCTGGAAACAATAGGCAGAACAGATTAAGGTAGTGGGTCTCGAATTAAGGGTGCAGGATAGGAAGTTGTTATAGAAGTCTCAGAAGGAAGGAGAAAGAAGGTCTCAAGGTCACATAATGTAGAGAGAAAACTTGCTGTGTTCTTAAATATTCTTTTCAAGAGCTGGTATAGGTAGGTGCTCAAGCAGCACATTGCGTTTCCCTGGCTCTCTCCTTCCTCTTCCCTAAAATGTTTCCTCCACTCATCACTGTGTCCTTAGCCACCTGGTCCTAAGCATTCCTGCCTCTCTTGCAAGTCAGCAGCAGATAACTCTGGTTTCAGGAGGAGATGGACCTCTTAAAACCACTAAGGCCACAGTCATGGCCACTGGGCCTCTGAACACTAGGTAGCTCCCCTCTGCTCCAGAGTCAGTGGCTGTGCCCCCCTAATCCAAGTTAGCTGCTTACAGAATGCATAAGATGGGGTGGAGTGTGATTGGCTGATGATGATTCTGCCTATCAGAGTCAGGGAGGGGACCAAAAACATATTTCCTCCTGAAAATTAGTGGATTTACCACTTCAAACATCTCTACATTTAAAGGATGTCAATAGGATGATTCTTTTATTGAAAAAATGTCTATTGAGAACCCACTAGGCATAGTTACCATTGTTACGTGTATATTTTAAGTAAGTTTTGATGGCACACTTACAAGTCATCTCTGAAATGCTCTGATCCACGATAAGGAGGCCTGAGTCTTCCTGACAGCTCTGCTACGGCGCTTCATCCACTCCAAAGATGTTACTGAGTCCTAGTATGTGCCAGGCCTTCATAGGCTCGGGGGTTGGCAGTGAACAGAAGGGACCAAGCCCAGGCTCTGGTGATAATAAGTGCTACGAAGGAAAACTAGAGGAGGATAAGGATGGTGACAGTGGTGGCTGTTACTCATAGAGAATGAATCTCGGGCAGATCCTTCGTCTCACTGGGCCCCAGTGTTCTCGCGTGTAAAATAGATTGATTCCGTGATCTCCTGGGTCTTCTCCAACCCTGACATTATGGGGTTCCACTAGTCCTGGTGCTCATTTCCACTCTGTCCTCCTGCAATGATTAATGTGGCATCTCAAAATCACAGGAAAATGCTCTTAAAAAAAATGTACGGGTATTTAAAAATGCATTTTATATATTTCTCCCTCCTGTAGAACCTGATGGAGCTTAGAGGTATCTCAATAGCCCCTCATTTTGTAAACAGGAGAATGTGACCCAGAAGATCATATAGCAATTCTTTGACAGCAGTGGAACTAAGACATAGGATTAGTGAGTGTTTTGGTGTTTGTTTCTGTTTCTTTGAACATCTCCTCTACAACGAAAACTCAGTGTAGAAAAGCAAAACCTTAGTTATGGGATACATGCCTTTGAACGCATATATCCCTGTGTCCCTGCCGTGAGTGCTGGCGAGTATGTAGTAAGTGCTCAGTAATAAGTGAATGAATGAATGGTTGGGTTTCTGAGCGCGCTTCTCTGTGAATGAATACCACTTGGGCTTCAGTGGCAGCCCGTTTAAAACATGTAGCAGACAGCACAAGGGTCAGGTTTGTCTGATGTGCGGAAGTGTCCCTGGACACAGAAACCAGAGCTTCACTTTACCAACACTTCAACTGTGTTATACTTCCTCCCACCCCGACGTGCAATCTCAAAACTTTCTTTACTTGCTGTTGTCCTTCAGAAAGCAGAAAGGAAATGGGAAGAGAAAAGGCAAAATCTGGACCACTATAACGGAAAAGAGTTTGAGAAGCTCCTAGAAGAAGCCCAGGCCAATATTATGAAGTCAATTCCAAACCTGGAGATGCCGCCAGCCTCGGGCCCACAGCCAAAGGGCGATGCTCCAGTGGACAAGCTAGAACCTTCAGGTAAGGCGCTACCAGAGCTTTGTGGGCTGCTCACCCTCGGGTCAGTGCGGTGCCGCCCACATAGGCACAATCTCTCACTTCCTAAAAACCTCATAAATTAAAAGAAGAAAATTAATTGGAGAAGCAAGCCCCAGGGGTCCCTAGAGCCTCCCTACTAGTTTTTGTTGTTTTATTGACTACTACTTTTTAGTTATAAACATAGTAGGGAAACTGTGTTCTGCGTTAGGGATCTAGAACAATGCACTAAGGAAAAACGTAGCTCCCCAGTTTCTGCCTCTCCTACGAATTTATGACCCTTCACAGCACCAGCTGGGAGAATATGAGACCTGCATTTAAACTGAGAGGTTTTCTTAGGAAACGTCGGCTTTTATAGGGATATTAGATCACAAGGAGAAATCGCATTTTTTAAATCAAAATTATTAGATGGTATATTTAACCAACCGAAACTATGGAAATTAAGCATCAGTGTGTCAATAATAATACAAAAAAGCTGTTAAAAAACTTAACCTGCTAAATCTTCAACCAATTACAAACCGTGTGCCTTATTCTCATCTTAAAATTACGGACAGTGTATCTCAAGTTGGTCAAAGAGGGAGCCCTTGTCATTACACATGAGAGGGAGACCAGAGCCCACCTCCAGAGCCCATCAGCCTGTGCCCGTCCCCAGAGGCAGCCATCCCGAGGCCAAGCTGCTGGCCTAGGACAAGACACATGTCCCAGTGGAGCTGGTGCCCTGTGACCTGGCACCCTCTACATAAGACAGGGACCGCCCACTACAGATAATCACTGGCTCGTCACCCTGATGACTTAGCCAAATCTTCGTTACAGCTTTCAGCAGGAAGTCCTCAAGCACCTCCTCTAAACAACTCTGTTTCAGTTGCTCAGAAAAGACACACACACTCCTGGGAGGCCAGGCAGGCCTGTGTGTCCCCAGAGTTGGGACAGAGGCCAGCTGGAAGCTCTGATCCCGAATTTCTTGTTTTACCACTTTTGTAAGCTCTTAGAGTGTTGGTAAAAGGCTGAAGTGAAGAATGTTGGTAAAGGGCAGGAGTGAAGCTCTTTCCGTTTTGAGAGAGAAATGCCTTTTGGGGGGCATTTTTCTGGGGAAAGCTCAGCAGACAGCTTCATCTCCCAGCCTTTGGTGTCAATACTGATTGGTAATTCTCTCATTTCTGCATTTGCTGCCTCCTTTTCTTAGCAGAGAACCTTTTCTAACCACATAACCGTGACCAAAACGATCCACTTTCTCCCTGACTTGTCCACTGACACCTTCTGCCTCTGGCTCTTCCTGGGCCAGATTCTACTCTAACCTCCTCTACATGAATCCCTCCTGCCAACACTGCTTTCCAGACTGAGGGATGAAGGCTCTGCAAGCCATGCAGGGAGCTCTGACCCTTCATCTCTCCAAGTAACACTCAACTTTTTGGGGTAACGAGATCTGTTTAATAATAATAGGTAATACTTGCATAGCATTTACTATAAGCCAAGCACTCTTCTAAATGCTTTATGTATATCAAGCCCATTTGATCTTCACAACACCCTGGTGGAGATGATATTATTAGAATACGCGTTTAACAGATGGGAAAACGGAGGCAGAGAGAGGTTAATTAACTTGTGCAGGGCCTTTCTGCTTCAGGGCCTGTATTTTCAGTTATTGCACTATGAAGAGAATAGAGAAATTTTTCAGTCAGATTGCATCAAGTTTCTAGAAATACATTGGACTTTCTGGATGTTATCTCGAAAGATGATTTTGCAATGACACACTGTTTTCCAGAAGACTCTCCAAATTCAGAACAGGACTTGGACAAGCTGGGGGCTAAGTCCCCGCCTCGTCCTCCCCCACCTCCACGGAGGAGCTACCTGCCAGGATCGGGGCTCACCACCACGAGGTCCGGCGATGTGGTCTACACCAGCAGGAAGGAGAGTGCCACCACAAAGGTCTGATGGGTGAAGCCCTGGTAAACTGTCTCTGGGTTCAGATGCTGCCCTTAGACAAAGTCTTCTCTGCTCTCATTTAGAATATAAAAAGTAGTGAGGCAGAGAAGAGAAGTGGAGAATAAACTAGGTCTCCAAGGAAGTGCCGTTGGACTAGGCGGCACTGTGTTCCAAGGTGGCACTGAACTAGGCTCTCAGGCGCCTTTAAGACGTGTAAGGAATGACCATTGCACGAAATTGCACAGATGGGAAAATGTCAGCCAGTGCTATAGGACTAGACTGAGCACCAGGAGTTTTATCCTTACTTGACTTTTAACTGTATGTGAAATGCAAATCACCAGCTACTTCCCCAGCAAAGCACACTAAGGTTGAAAACGGGGGCCTGAGGGGCAAGCAAAAGGAAGATCATCTTACAGAGGTAACTGAGATTAGCTAACATAGTTGTGGGAGTCTTCAGAAAGAGGTTCAGAGAGCTTTAACTTCCACTTAACCTGGCAAGTTGTGTCATGTATGTTCAATGTAAAATACAGTTTCCAAGGAGGGCCTTTCTTAAAGGCACTGAAGTTACAGTCTTATTATAATTCTTCAATCCGTTTGCCAAAATGACACCTTGGGCAAAGAAAAACCCAAACTAAATGCAAGTAGACAAAGCAGCCTTTCAGCTTGATTTGAAGAGCTAGGAAGCCAGTGCACCAGGCAGTGAGAGAACGTGTATTCCTTTGCGATCTGTCCCTCTTTTGCCAGCACCTGGGGGTGTTAAGCCAGTATCTGTGGTTTGACTCTTTCTCAGGCAAGCAGTGAAGATGCTGGACCAAGCCTGCAGGCTAGAGCCACAAAGTGTCCAGCAGAGGAGCCTGCTTCAGCCTGGGCCCCGTCACCACCACCTGTCACTACTTCCTCCTTAAAGGATGAGGAGGAAGAAGAAGGAGACAAAATCATGGCAGAACTCCAGGTATGTGGATGCGGTAACTGACGTGGCCGCCTGCCCTTCCCATCTGGGATTCTGGTTGTGTCTGACACCAGTTCATTAGCTAGAGAGGGCTGGGGAAGAGCCCCATGCCCCTGGGCCATGTAAGCTGCATCTCTGGCCTTGGCCTCCACTTTTCCAAGGTGGCACTGAACTAGGCTCTCAGGCACCTTTAAGACATGTGTAAGGAATGACCATTGCACAAAACAACTCAGAAAGTTTATACCAAAAAATCAATCCCAAGCTTTCCTAGCTCTGGCTGCTAGGATTGCCTTTCCTTTCCTTTCTTTCAGTGTGAAAATAGTCCCTGCTTCATTTTAAAAGCACTTAAGATGGGGATTAGAAATACCAGCCATTGTCCTGTCTTCCCAAGGACTGAGTAAAGCCCCCTTCAAGTGGTGTCCCCTTCTTTGGCTTTAATTCTTAGAATGACAGGCCTGGAATCATGTGGCCATCTGTCCTCCATACCAAGTTTCCAGTGAGTGTCAATGTCATCTTTTCAGGGATTCCAAAAAGCTTAATAATTTTGTTTCCCGTCTTCTTTGTTCTATTTGAGAAATGATACTTTACTTTTAGATATTTATGTGTTAACTAATTGCCACAGTCTACTCCTAGGACTAAGGAGGGGTACAGGGCTACACCCAAAGCTCATCCCACATTCAGATCATGGTGTGAATCTGCCCTAGGTGTACATTCTAAGAACTCGTCTAATCAGTCATAAAACACAATTCCTGGACGGCAGTCTGTTCATAAAGTATTTCATTTTGATCCATGAATTAACGTAGGATATTTTGCCAATTTGATGGTCAGGTCACGACCTCCTTCGGGCTCCAGCACATGTTCACTAAGGTACCGATGATTTTGTGCAGGCCCAGGGATCTGCCTTCTTCATTTGGAGGAGGGAGAACATTCTGACCATGTCACTTCCACCTCAACTCTTCTGCTCTGCTTCCCATGGAAGTAATTGCCAACATTAAGCGCCTTGGGTTTTCCAGGGAAAACAGGGCTGCTGGTTTACTTGTCACATGTGTGAGCCCTGTCCAGCCCCATTAAAACTCAGACTGGCCTGAGACATCCCCTCCATCACACAGTTTGCTTACAGGCTTTTAGATTGGTCAGAGAGTTTCATTCATAGGAACCATAGATTTATAAAGTTACTGACTCATGGAACAGTTGAGAGCATGGAGGCCTCCATCAGTTATCCACTGAGGGCCCTCTGACTAAGACACTGGTATGTCAGGGCTACATGTTGCTGGGCATTGGTGCTTCTCCTAAGATGTGTAGGCAGATGCTGGGGCCATTCATTGTAGCATTTGCCCCCAAATTATGGTATAAGTAACAAATATGGAGGGAGAAAGAACAAGATAGTGGAGTAGAAGGACGTTAGCTCACTTCTCACAAAAACACCAAAGTCACAACTGACTGCTGAACAACCATCAACACTGAACAACCATCAACAAAAAAGACTGGAACCTACCAAAAAAAGATATACTACATCCAAAGATAAAGAAGAAGCCACAACGAGACGGTAGGGGGCGCACAATCACAACAAAGTCAAATCCCATACCCACTCAGTGGGCGACACACAAACTGGAAAATAATTATAGTGCAGAGGGTCTCCCACAAAAGTGAGAGTTCTGAGTCCCACATCAGGCTCCCCAGCCTGGGGGTCTAGAATTGGGAGGAGGAGACCCCAGAGCATTTGGCTTTGAAGGCCAGTGGGGCTTGGTCACAAGAACTCCACAGGACTGGGGGAAATGGAAACTTCATTCTTGGAGGGCACACACAAGGTCTTGTGCCCTCTGGAACCCAGGGAGAAAGCAGTGACTTCATAGGAGCCTGGGCCAGACCTACCTGCTAGTCTTGGAGGGTCTCCTGGAGAGGTTGGGGGGTGGCTGTGGCTCACTGTGGGGTCAAAGACACTGGTGGGGGCATACTGGGAAGTACTCGTTGGTGTGAGCTCCCTGGGAGGCTTCCATTTTTACCTGCCCCACCTGACAGCCTGTAGACTCCAGTGCTGGGACGCCTCACGCCAAACAACCAACAGGGTGGGAACACAGCCCTAGCCCAAAGCCACCTCTAAACACACCCCCTTGACACGGCCCTGCCCACCAGAGAGACAAGATGCAGCTCCACCTACCAGTGGGCAGGAAGCAGCCCCTCCCACCAGGAAGCCTGCACAAGCCTCTGAGGCCTCATCCACCAGGGGGCAGAGACCAGAAGCAATGGGAAGTACAGCCCTGCAGCCTGTGGAACAGAAACCACAATCACAGAAAGTTAGACAAAATGAGACAGCAGAGGAATATGTTCCAGTCGAAGGAACAAGATAAAACCCCAGAAAAACAACTGGGGGAGATAGGCAATCTACCCAAAAAAGAATTTGGAGTATTGACAGTAAAGATGATCCAAGATCTTGGAAAAAGAATGGAGGTACAGACTGAGAAGATGCAAGAAATGTTTAACAAAGAGCTAGAAGATACAAAGAAGAAACAGATGAACAATACAATAACTGAAATGAAAAATACACTAGAAAGAATCAATAACAGAATAAATGAGACAGAAGAACGGATAAGTGAGCTGGAAGACAGAATGGTGGAAATCAGTGCTGCAGAATAGAATAAAGAATGAAAAGAAATGAAGACAGTTTCAGAGACCTCTGGGACTACATTAGGTGCACCAACATTTGCAATATAGGGGGCCCTGAAGGAGGAGAGAGAGAAAGGGCCCGAGAAAATATTTGAAGAGATAATAGCTAAAAACCTCCCTAACGTGGGAAAGGAAACAGTCACCCAAGTCCAGGAAGCACAGAGTCCCAGGCAGGATAAACCCAAGGAGGAGCACACCAAGACGCATATTAATCAAACTGACAAAAAGACAAAGAGAAAATACTAAAAGCAACAAGTAACATACAATGGAATCCCCATAAGGCCATAAACTGATTTTTCAGCAGAAACTCAGCAGGCTATAAAGAAGTGGCATGATATATCAATATTTAAAGTGATGAAAGGGAAAAACCTACAACCAAGATTACTCTACCCAGCAAGGCTCTCACTCAGATTTGACAGAGAAATCAAAAACTTTACAGACAAGCAAAAACTAAGAGAATTCAGCACCACTAGACCAGCTTTGTAACAAATGCTAAATGAACTTCTCTAGGTGAAAAAGAAAAGGCCACAACTAGAAACAAGAAAATTACAAGTGGGAAAGCTCACCAGAAGGCAGGAAATTATTCACACACAAATGTGATATCAAAACCAGCAGTCGTGAGAAGAGGAGAGTACAAGTGCAGGATACTAGAAATACATTTGAAATTAAAAGACAACTTAAAAACACTCATATATATTATACAGACTGCTATATCAAAACCTCATAGTAACCGCAAACTGAAAATCTACAATACACACAAAAAAGAAAAAGGAATCTAAACACAACACTAAAGTTAGTCATCAAATCACAAGAGAACAAAAGGGAGGGCAGAAAAGAGACCTACAAAAACAAATCCAAAACAATTAACAAAATGACAGTAAGAATATCCATATCTATAATTACCTTAAATGTAAACAAATTAAATGCTCCAAACAAAAGATACAGACTGGCTGAATGGATACAAAAACAAGACCCTTATATATGTTGTCTGCAAGAGACCCACTTCAGATCTAGGGACACATACAGACTGAGACTGAGGGGATGGAAAAAGGTATTCCATGGAAATGGGAATCAAAAGAAAGCTGGAGTAGCAATCCTCATATCAGACAAAATAGACTTTAAAGGACTGTTATAAGAGACAAAGAAGGACAGTACATAATGATCAAGGGATCAATCCAAGAAAATATAACAATTGTAAATATATATGCACCCAACATAGGAGCATCTCAATAGATAAGGCAAATGCTAACAGCCATAAAAGGAGAATTCAGCAGTAACACAATAATAGTGGGGGACTTTAACACCCTAGTTACAGCAATGGACAGATCATCCAGACAGAAAATCAATAAGGACACACAAGCCTTAAATGACACATTAGAGCAGATGGACTTAATTGGTATTTATAGAGCATTCCATTCAAAAGCAGCAGAATACACATTCTTTTCAAGTGCATGCAGAACATTTTCCAGGATCTCACACTGAACCACAAAGCGGGCCTTGGTAAATTTAAGCAAATTGAAATTGTATCAAGCATCTTTTCTGACCACAGTGCTATGAGATTAGAAATCAACTACAAGGAAAAGAAAAAAAAACCCACAAACATGTGGAGGCCAAACAATATGCTACTAAACAACCAATGGATCACTGAAGAAATCAGAGGAAATCAAAAAATACCTAGAAAAAACAGCCCAATCCAAAAACAGGCAGAAGACCTAAATAGACATTTCTCTGAAGAAGATATACAGACTGCCAACAGACACATGAAAGAATGCTCAACATCATTAATCATTAGAGAAATGCAAATCAAAACTACAATGAGATATCATCTCACACCAGTCAGAATGGCCATCATCAAAAAGTCTACAAACAGTAAATGCTGGAGAGGGTGTGGAGAAAAGGGAACCCTCTTGCACTGTTGGTGGGAATGTAAATTGATACCACCACTATGGAGAACAGTATGAAGATTCCTTAAAAAGCTGAAAATAGAACTACCATATGACCCAGCAATCCCACTACTGGGCATATACCCTGAGAAAACCATAATTCAAAAAGAGTCACATACCACAATGTTCATTGCAGCTCTATTTACAGTAGCCAGGATATGGAAGCAACCTAAGTGTCCATCGACAGATGAATGGATAAAGAAGATGTGGCACATATATACAATGGAATATTACTCAGTCATAAAAAGAAACGAAATTGTTATTTGTAGTGAGGTTGGTGGACCTAGAGTCTGTCATACAGAGTGTAGTAAGTCATAAAGAGAAAGACAAATACTGTATGCTAACACATACATATGGAATCTAAAAAAAAAAAAGGCATGAAGAACCTAGGGGTAG